GGTTTCCAACTTTCCTGGGGGGGTTTCCATGTGGGGAAAAATTGAGGAAAATGGTGAAAATACATGATTTTTAAAGAAAATTATCGGGGTGGGGGGTTTCCTGAAGCCCAAAAAACCCCTCTGGATCCGCCACTGAAATGTCATTAAACAATACAGCTATTACAGTCGGTCTAAGCATCCTTAAATACTAAACCGGAAGTAGTCTGATAATGCAATGCGCGCGAAACAATGGCTGTCTCGGAATCAAGATGTAAACAGACTCGAAATTAACATTTCTGAAGCATATTTGCAGAATGGCGAGCAAGCGGAAGCTCGAAGAAGATGCAGAAACGTTCGCCACCCCAAGTAAAACTCAAAAAATGTTGGATGAAGGTGATACAACAGCGCATATTGACAAAATATGAGACAAACATTTATTGACCCCCCCCCCCCCCCCCCCCCCCCCCCCCCCCCCCCNGACGGCCTGCTAAAAACACACATTAAAGAACCCCTATGATATTGACTAGGTCGATGGTAATGACTTTCTTCCATATAGAAATACGTTGCAATTAGTTGTATGATAACGGCTAGTAATGCACAAAATAAGCAAGGATGGGTCACGTCACCAGTTTCGACGGATGGATATGCGGGCACAATGCATTTTGTTTATGTTGTGCTGCATCTCTACCAGTTCTATCTTCACAGTAGCTTAGCACACACGTATGTATTTACAAGTAAGCAGTGCCCTGTTTACCATTGAATTAACGTAGCTTTTAGGGTGTACCGATGAGGTAATATAAGAAGAAGATTAAAAACGATAATAATAGCGACAGATAAATTCACAGTGACTCTTGAAGAATTGAATTGAAGACATTTTAAGCCAGATCAAAATTAAAGTTAAGTTTATTGAATGACGTAGGCAAACTTGCTTCTTTGTCCAAATCTACTAATCAAATTTACAACTTGAAATTGAACCATGATATATATATGCATGCATATATGTCTCTAAAATGTTAAATCCTTACTTTGATTACAGTACTATGTTTACCATAGCTTTAGAAAAAAAAATCATATCTTAAAAGTTAAATTCTTAATAGTATAGTACAAAAATGAGACCAGAAAGTTCATAGTTTGTTTGAGCAGTTCTTCTGGAGTCCGACAATATTTCTATGCCATCTATATAAAGTCTTCTGATTAAGAATTTTCTTTCCTTTTTGCATCTTTTATCAGTTTGTTTTTCTTTTCTCTGCTGTTATGTCAGTTCATTTTGTGTCTGTACGGTGGAATGTTTCTGATTGTTTTTTAAATCCCTTGATGTGTTTGAAAATTATTTTCTTGATTTTGATAAACCCCATAAGGAAATGAGAATTGGTCTTCCTTTCTGCTCAATTTCGGGCCTGTCTGAAATTTTCTCTAATCTTATTACCTTCTTGAAAATTTCTCCATTATTAATCTATCTAACAAACACTTCAAACACCTCCAGTATAAATTCCTTATCAGCTTCCTTTCCTTTCTGCCCGTTTGGGTGGTGTTGCTCGGGGATATGCGAAAAACAATGAGATTCCTTTCTTTCTGCTCTCTTTCCTTGATTTCTAATATAACGAGATCCGTGTTCGGTTCCAAGGTAATTGATTTGATCTCTTTCACTACGTTCTGTACCTGCGTAATATCACATCACATTAAAACAGCCAATTTGAAATGTAAGTATTAATTAGCTACCTTCTCTATATACCGGTATGCATATGAAAGGAATGTGATAGGGATCTATTTTACTTGTCATTTTAAATTATGCTTTTGAATAAAATGATCAACATTGTCAAATAATCATCACTAACCATGTTAAGACAGACAATTAATAATACGAGAATTAACAAATAATGTACTCAGTAAATAATAAAATGACCCTAATTAATTTAATGGCTAAAAAGAAAATCTATTTGATTAAATTTAAGATCGTTTATGGTACCTCTCTGAAGGTATGAATTAGATTATGTAGTTACGCTGGTACAAAAATCACATTATTTTAAATCTTAAGTTACCTGTGGTAGATAACAATAAATGTTTTTTACAAGGAGTTTGAGATAATACAAGTTGGTGGTAGCCTCATAATTATGAAATATATTCTATTCAATTATTCCAGTACTTTGCTGTGTTGTAAGAAAAATATGTAGGTCTATAATATACAAAATTGTGTAAAAATACATGTGCATATATAAAGTGTCCAGGTGTGATAAGTTTTTAGTGTATGACCTTGATGTACAATACAGACACTCCTTATCAATGTGAAAGTCAACCGTAAAAGTTGTGTTTCCAGCTGAAATATTCTGTTTTCATCAGCCACAAATCATCAATTACAATATAATCATTGTTTTACCATGAGAATGGAAATTAAATTTAACATTCGTTTTATACATGATATTATTTTACTACCTGATTCCTATATTTTGATACATATTCTTGGACAAATGTTTTGGATATTGTTTGTTGTACGTGTGTATTAGATACACATACGTATTACATACAGTTCCAGAGATGAAGTCCTGCTGTTCCATCCGTTTATATAACATTATATTAGGGCAATTGCTCCTATATAGACACAAGATCTACTTGAGCAATATATATATATACAGTAAATTCAATCATGTTTACATTACTTTGAACATGTAAATAATTTACTCTGGAAAAAGAAAAAAAGACAGTATCCTGTCCTACAAATTATAATTGACAACTTTAACAAGTCTGAATTAGATTCCATCAAAATGAAAAATTCACGTTTTTGCCCATTCAGATTCAAACGATAAAAACAAGAATATGAAGCAGTACAAAATTTTAAGATAAATTTACCAACTGGCTCTTTTGTCTACTTATGTGATACTAAACCAGCATATTTTTCTTGAGCCTCGTCATTGTACATGTAATCACAAAAAGAAACAATGTTGTATGTATTACAGTGAAAAGATCAGGAAGAGTCAGGAAGAAGCCAGCCAGATTCAAAGATACAGGAGAAGAATCAGATGAAGATGGAGAAATAGTGAAGACCCCTAAAAGTCCTGAAAGTGTTAGTCCAGGCACTGCTAAATCTGTTCCGAGTCCAAAGGGAGCACCCACAGTGACAGTACCATTCATTCTGAAACCAGATGCAGTGGCAAGTCCAGCAAAAGGGCCCAAGCCTAAAGCAATTGTTGCCAAATCTCCAGGTGTCATTATGATACAGAATCCAAGTCTGCTGGGGACAGGTGCTGAGACCAACCCTTTAGTAGTATCTCCACATGTGGTGTCGGTCCCCACAGTGGCACCTGTCACAGTGCCTGTTGTTGTCCAATCACCAGTTATCCCCCCTGTCCAGTCGCCAGTGACCATCAAGGCTAAAACTCAAACATCACAAAGCGCCGACTTCGACAATAAATCAGGACGGGTAAGAGTGAATTCAGGATGATAATCTAAAAATACAGTCTGTGGTGATTATAATCTGAAACCTTATAAATGCTAAAGTATGTACATAGACGACTACGCACTGACCATATGTTATTCACTTTAGAGTTTTGTTATAATTAGCATCTTGGAGCGCATTTTGAGATACATGTATATGGTAATTATGTAAAGAATTGGCAAACAAATTATCACTTCTTGAAAAAGTAAACAGAACTTAGTGAGAAAGAATTGTTTGATTCAAATTTTATCAATACATGATGTCAGTCACATTTATTGTACAAGGTACTTATAGGGTTCATAGTAAGGTGCTTTGATCTTTCTTAGATTTCATCTAGTAACTAAGGCTTCTACACAAAAAATCAGGTGAGGTACATGTTATATCAAGTTGTTCTGCTTTTATTTCAAGGTGAGGAAGAAGTCAAAAAAAGTTCTTGAAATGGAGGCATTTGAGGAGGCTGAGCGCATAAAAACAACCACCAAAAAAGTGCCTGAAACGAAGGGCAGTCAGAAGTCACCTGCAGCGAGGAAGAGTGGTCATATTGGGATAGTAGGAAAGGCTGCAGACACTGTACTGACCGCTGTCACACTGACCGGTCTGTCCCAAGGAGTGGCTGCTGAGGTCGGCAAACTGACTGCAGTCAAGATGGAGCCTGCAGAACAGATGCTGGACACCAGTATTCCACCTCAGGCTCTACCACAGCCAGCCATACCAGGAAAGATGGATCCTGCATTGGCTAATCTCCCACCATTTCCTCCGTCAAAGCTTGGAACATTATCAAAACCAGCCATTCCTGGAAAGATAGATCCAGTGTTAGCAAATCTCCCACCATTTCCACCATCAAAACTTGGTAACTCTTCTAAAAAAGGTAAAAAGAAAAAAGATGATATCGGTCCAATAACTACTCCACCATTGATTGCTCCAGCTTCTCCGATTGTTGCTGGTGCTAAAAAAGTCAAAACTACCCCAAAAGCTAAGAAAAGCAAACAACAGGAACTGATGGAGGTGGAGCCACATTTAATGGGTGGGGCAATGTCTGTAGGTGTAACAGAAGAACAAGATATAGGTGTGCTACAGTCTGGATCCTTGTCAGACAGCTCTGTCAAAGTTAAGACAGAGCCGACATCTCCAGGAAAGACTGTGAAAAGAGGTCTGAAAGGATCACCTTCTGCAATAGATCCCTCTCTCATTGAAACTGGGATTCGCATGCCACAGTCCATAGCAGGACAAAGTGGAAGCGTTATTAAAATGCTACTCAATACACCCACACAATTCTCTAGTCCTACTGTGTCTACTCAGTCAATAAACACTAGTGAGAAGGCACAGAAACTAGGCACTTCCCCCGAGGCCATGGATACAAGTATTGTCAAGTCGGAGGCCATGTACCTCGGGGACGAGTCGACAATTCTGTTGTCCACAGACATTATGGAGCACACAGAGACAGTTGGAGACGAAGATGTGTACGATAAAAAGAAACAGAAAAAAATAATTAAAAAGACAATTCTTATGGACCCAATGGATGATGATGAGGATGATGATGATCTGGACGATTTAGATGATGATGACGATGATTTTGATAATGGGGATGAAGCAGGTGAATGGGAATTCGAAAATCAGGACGGTAAGTTGGTGATCGCAGATTTTCCCAAGAAAGGAAATGAGGAATTGGAGGAAGATAAACAGGCCGTAGACTCAAATAAAGGAAAGAAATCTCCAAAACGACCAACACCTAAAAAGCGACCACAGAGCAAGGGCAAGGCTGATGGAGCAGATGCAGGTAAATATATCATAGAAGTGTGTATAGTGCAGAGAGCTGGGCAGGCAATAAATTCTTCAGTCACATTTAGAAAATAATGCAATATATCATATTTAAAATCAATTCATATTAAAAAAAGGTAAAGAGATATCAGTTCTGTGAATATCGATGATAAATTTATAACTGTTGATATAATTTGGAAATTGTCACATCAAGCTTAGTTTGGATAACAAGTCAACTTTATTAGTGTTTCTGTGAAAATATTTCATAAATGTACTTAACCACCTTGCTATGATGAAAGGTGTGGCACGTACATGGCTAAAGTTGGAGTATTGTCTGTTTCAGATGGTGAGCAAGGCGATGGGAAGAAAGGTGGAAAAGCAGCGGTAAATAGATATATTTTTCTTTTACTATAACATATAATGTGAAATCAGTGGTAAAATGATGGCCTCCATTTTTACTTAAACATATAATGTGAAATCAGTGGTAAAATAATGGCCTCCACTGGAAACACTACATTGCAGTATTGATAGCAATCAATTCCGTAATTCTATCCAGGATGTCAGAACAATTTAAAAGCTCTGGAGCATGTAATGGTTATTTGTTTGCAGTCCAGTTCAGCATTATAGATTATAATTACCATGAACAGAATGTAGCCCAATATTTATAGATTTCATCAATTTGGACCATCTTCTGGCAACTAAAATTTGCATTAAGTTGTTCTTCAATTTTAAGAGGATGTTTGATAAACTAACAGCTAACAGCTATCAGCCAGCCAGCATGGGAAAGCAATCTCTGTTGTAATTCTTCATGATTATGACACCACACATGTAATGATGCAATGATCACAAGTGTGTTATGGTCCCTACTCCTCGTAACTGATGTTGGTACGTTAATTTAGTGGCAATGCTGTTAGAAATGTTATCAAAGGTCACAGGAAATGTTCTACACTATTATGTAATTCAAAGACGTGACTTATTGCTGTAGCGATAATATCAATAAATAAACATAATTTCTGCTTACAGAAGGAAAAGAAAAAGAAGAGGCTGACTGCCTATACTATGTGGTGTAACACCGTCCGAAACAAAGTCCTCAGTGAAAATCAAGGGATGGGTGAGTGTTCGATTTTGTGATCATTGCTTAATAAGTTTGTATGGTATATGACTGTCACATACATATGGTCCTCGATATATAAACCAGGTAATGGATGAGTGTTAAAGGTTGTGACCAGTAATGTTGCAAACATATAATAAGTATTGTCCTTGGTGAAAACTTGGGAATCAGTAAGAGTTAGTGACCAGCACAGTCACAAGTATATGGTCCTCAGCGACACCCATGGTGTGGGCGAGTGTAAGATTTGGTGACTGGCACCTTACTCTTCTGTCAGAAACATGGTCCCCTGTAAAAACCAGGGGATGTATATGTGTTGGTGCAAGATTTAATGATGACTGAACGATGTGACTGTTACAAATATTGTCCTTTAGATATTGAGACTGTTACAGCGCACTTTGTCAAAAACTGGACACTTCATGATCAGCAGCCAGTTTGCAGATTACGTCTGAATTGTAGAGAATCTGCTTGCATTTGTTATGTACATGTATTGTCATTGTTTTCAACCAAATTGTTTGGCTGATTTAAATAAAAATCTGGATTTGAGAACAGAGTCCAGTTAAGACAGAGTGTACAATAAACTGTTAATATAAAGTCCTCTGTTACTAAAACAGGTTTGTTTGTAAATACATATACTAAAGCTAGCTTTAGATACAACAAGTCTAATTTTTCTACTCCAGAAAGATTTTGTTTGAGAACATAGAATTGTCATCTGAAAAGTGGAGGCCAAGCTTATGTGGGCTCAAAATTAAAGCACCCACAGTTCTTTATATGTAAGACAGGGTTATCTGGAGAGAGAGGTCCACAAAGACAATATTCTTTAGGATGTGTTCAATAGACCACTACTTATCTATGAGCATAGCAGTCAACATATCATTGATATTTCTACAGCAGGAGAAATAACGTCACGGTGATCAGGTCTTCTGTAATCCTGTCAGTTTTAGTTTGGCAGGACTCAGAGACGGGTGGATTTAAAACAAAGGTTAAAATATAATCCACATTTAAGGAAAAAATGTACAAAACAATCTACTTGTGTGGTTCATTTCACTAAAAACACTTTATCGTCATGCCAACAGTGCGCAGACGATATTCATCAAGGGAGAAAGTTGAAGTGGTTGAATGGCACAGAGAACATGGAAGCAACTGTTCGGCATCAGAAAGACATTATGGTATTGCTAGGAAACAGATCCGTCAGTGGAACAGGGACTATGACAATCTACTTTACCTCTCACTCGGCCCTGACAGGGAAAAGAAATGTATTGTTACCAAGACTAAAGCTGCCTCATCAGAACTTGACTATTTGGTATTCGAATGGTTTATGGACGAGCGTATGTCGAGCAGATCTGTGACTAACCTGTTGTTGATGTCCAAGGCTCGCGATATTGCTGTCGAGCTTAATATTTACGGCTTCCAGGCATCTCATGGATGGCTCAGAAGGTGGAAGAAACGACACAATGTTACTTACTGCTCTGAGAACAAGACATGTGAGCTAGAATGAAGATGTTTTCTCCGCACACTTGATGTACACATTTATCTAGGGAAGAATATCCTCAGTGTGTAAACAGTACAGATGAGCCGACAGCATTTCTATTTTTTCTGACACCTGGGGTTTAAGTTGTGACTTCCTCAGCAGTGGTTTCCATTAAATTCAAGGTATGTAAATGTATCAGATAATTCAAAAACATAATAATTATATGATGTGAGGTTGATCTCGGTGTATAACTTAAAGACTAAATCCTAAAATGTTCATGCATAAATACAATTCCTCTATGAATCTGTTTACTCACTTTTACACAAAATATTAAGTTTCCTTGGATTAATCACCTGTTATTATCTGAAGTTAGATTTGTAAATTAGTATTTATCACACTGGTTATGTGTATTGTATAGAGATGTTTTCTATTCCTTTTTCAGGTCTGATGACAACTGTATGATATGACTGTAGGTCAAAGAGATGACTTGAGCAAAAAGTGCCTGTTTGAGATTTTCCACAAGAATTAATATGTTCAAGTAGCTAAACATGTATATATATTAGAATTAGTGAAATATTTAAAATGACTAACCACATCTTGTGGAAGTCGGAGATTGTTTAAATTTGTTTGCTGTTTTAAGATATTTAACCTTTAAAAGGGGAGATGATAATGAAAAAACTGTTAAGTGTTTTAATTTTAATTTCTGTTTTACAAATAACAGAATATATAATGTTCCTTCATATTTGATGGTCTGTTTATTTGGTTTTATTTTATTTAACGTCCTACATATGAACAGCCATTTAAGGACGTCGTATTTGATGAAATACGAAATGTACTTTTTTTTAAAAACATATACATGTATATAATTCATATTTAATGAACTTGCTGAATTATGTACATGTTTAAAAAAAAAAGTATATTTGTATTTCAAACCTTATCATCTGTCTCAGAGTTTTGACAATCATTATTAATAGCAGATCACATCTCAAAATCCTTATCTCAGTTTCCCTTCCCTATGAATTTTGTCACATTTAATGTTTTCAACACTTTACATAATTGAATGTCTCTAAAAATGTAAAAAAAATAATTCATATTCTAGTGTCTTATTTTAACATTTATATTACATGTATTTTTACATAAAAAAAAATTGCAAATAAAAAAACAAATGTAGAAAAAAAATCACAAGAAAAGTACTTTTTAGAGAGTTAAACTGTGTTTTATTATACGTCCGGCAAATTTGACAGAAGTATTATGGTATGGAGTTGTCCGTCTGGCGAAAACTTTTGTTTGTCTGACAATCTCCTCCTACATTTTTCGATTGATCTCTTTGAAACTCGATATACATTATAATCATGATATGAAGTTGTGTCTCCATTAAGGTAATAGGATTGTGTCACCATTTCTCAGTAGAATTTCTTCAAATTTTGTAGTTATATTGCTTTAAAGTAAAGAAAATTTTCTGCCACAAAAAAAATATAGGTTGTCAGAATTTTAAGGAGTTTAAATGGAAATTTATGTAAAAAGGAGTGAATTTTGAAAAAAAAATGAAAGACACAATATATTTACAAAATGATGTCAATAAAAATGATACTGACATATATTAGTATTGCATTAATGTATATCAATTTAATAAATGCTGAAATTGTGTAAAATTAATACTCTATAGACGATATAAAAATTGACATTTTATAATAAAACCATATACACATAGTAATTGCAGGTAAGAGTTATCGTTCTTGAAAAACTTCACAGTAGTGAAATAGGTAGCCGGTTTCCTGAAGTACAGAAAAATGGACACATGTGACTCATTGATAAAAAACACCTGAATTAATGCCTGGATTGCTTTGAAATACTTTAATATTGAGAGAACACACTGTTCTGTCAATAATAAACATACAATATTCATCAATTTAATATTAAACATTAGAATTTGCGGAAATTGTGATGCCGTTTCCCTACATTGGATATTCAACTAGGGATGTACTTCCTGTTTCCGTTTATCAATACACTCCAATGACCTTAAAAGAAATTTGATTCGACAATTTTTCCAAAAGTTATTGCCCTTTGTTCAATAAAAAAACAAATGTAGGAAAAAAATCACAAGAATAGTACTTTAATTTTTAGAGAGTAAAACTGTGTTTTATTATACGCCCGGCAAATTTGACAAAAGTATTATGGTATGGGGTTGTCCGTTTGGCGTAAACTTTTGTTTGTCCGACAATCTCCTACATTTTTCGATTGATCTCTTTGAAACTTGATATACATTATAATCCTGATATGAAGTTGTGTCTCCCTTAAAAGAAATTTGATTCGACAATTTTTCCAAAAGTTATTGCCCTTTGTTCATTTCAGTATTTGATTTTTTGTCTACAGAACTCCTCCTACATTTTTTGACGGATTTCTTTGAAACTTCGTTGGCTAAATAATCATGATATGAAGTTGTGTCTCCCTTGAATTTTGATTCGATAATTTTTGCAAAAGTTATTGTCCTTTGTTCATTTCAGTATTTGATTTTTTGTCCGGAGATCTCCACCTACAATTTTTATAGCATGTCAGCTAACCACTCTTAGAATGATGCAGAGAGATCTTATTTCAATGTAAGAAAGTATATAACACAATAATGTATATTGTTCCGCCCCGCGGTACTCTTGTTTATTAACAGGATTGTGTTCTGTAATATTCTTATCTAATACATACAGATCATTGGACAAGACCGTGAGTGTTTTGTGATATTAAGCTAGATATTGTCAAGAACTGGACTTGCACAAAGTAGACACCTACTATTGATTATCTGTGATATTTATTAGAATTAATTGTTAACAGGTATAGTACAAATTATTTCACTTTCTACATATACATGTATATATACAGCCATTCTTAACCATCTTTTTCATATATTGACATTTGTCAAGGTCACTGCTGCCCCTAATCTAATAAATCTATTATTTGACACCATCATGCCTTCAACAGAAACGGTTTTACCCTTGGCTTTCAATGAATGATTCTAAAACCTCCAAAGCTTCAGAGGCAAATATCTCTGAAATAAATACAAATTATAGCCATGGTGTGTCACCTGTTCTGGTGATGAGATGAAAGTGTCTTTATGGTACACTGTACATTTTTTTATGGAGACTGAGAAGTTCCACACAATCACAGACAGGCCCTCCAAAACTGTACTTTACATACTGATCATAGGAATAACATCAGAATTGTGATAGTAAACCTTGAACTCACCCAACATGGCATCCATAACTCAACAAAGATTAAGTCTGGCAGTGATTTCTCCTCAAATAGTGCCAAAATAGTTTTTGAAGACATTTCTTCTTTTAAATGGTCTATCATTAAAAAAAGAAATAAAAAAAGAAAATGTATGTGCCAAAAAGTGATGTACCTTTATACCTAGGACTGTCACCTCGTAAGTCACCTGTTTATATTGGATCAGCATTTGTATATTATGTGATGTATTTTTTCAAAATAATTTGTATTATTTTTTGCATTTAATTTTGAAGTGTTTAATTTTGGTCGGTGCTAAAGCAACCAATTAAAGCTTAAGTGTGTCAAATGGAGGATAGATGGAGTGCTGGATGTTGATATGTTTATATTTACCTTTTTAGCTATTTATTGAGTGTTTTATTTTTATATGCATTGTACATCGATTTTATTACAAGGTTTTTCAGTGCAGCATTACCCTGAATTAGTATATTTTATCCACGTAAGATTTATTTATAGAATAATATTTACATTTGCATGGCATTGTCACTATATAGCCTCTTTGAAAGCTGTGTCGTTGATGGGACTTTAATTACCATGCATCACGAGACACAATTCTTAGCGTATTAATACAACACTGACCGGAACTACAATATCCAATATAAATAAACATGTTTGCTTGCAAAGCTGTGTCATTCAAATAGATCATAAATACCATACAAAAACAGTTCAATGCTTAAATAGAACCACCATGGTCAGTTATATGAAATGATAACGTCGTCTGACATCAATTGTGAACTTGGATTTGTCCCACCAATTATAAAATAATTGTCCCTTGGCTGGAATTGTGAATTGATTATGCCACCAATTTTGAGATGATAAGGGCACAGATTGTACAACCAGTTTGCCTGTTTTTAAATGTAATATTTTCAGGTATATGCAAGGTTCACCTGAAAGCAGCATCAGATTACTAGGTCCGACCTTATTTCATAAACGAATAACTCTGGTTCAACCGTTTGGATTAGGTTGGATCGGGATAAACGAAAGCAGCCCTGCTTATTGAAGGGGGATATACCCAATTCTGAAAGCGCAATCAAGCTTTTTTGCTACTTATCCTTTACATTTAAGATGAAAAGTGTTTGTTTCCGTGATTCGTTCGAAATATCATGGCATGACTTATTGCATTGCTGATTTCAATATAATAGATATGTATGGTTAGATTATTTGAATAAATTGTATAACACTAGATACCATTTATAGCCTGATTATTTTGCCACACTATTGCCATTCATACTTCTATGTGTTGATACAGTTTTGATACATTTGTATTTCCTATTTATATCTATTGTGTTTGTTAATTTAGTTAAGAATACATTAACAGTGAGGGATGAAGTGGTTGTGAGGGTATCTTAAATAGATCTGACTAACAAGAATGTTAAGTCAATGTTGTGTATTGTAGGAGCTGTGTTGACGTGTGATGAGATGTTATTTGACACTTTATATACAATTCTACACTGTCGTGAATCTTAAGGTTCTAGTGTAGACAATAACCTTGTACAATGTATTACAGTGGAAACAGTTGCCAGATCTAGACACGTTGATTTACACACAGGTATGTTACAGCCAGAAGGCCTAGGGTAATTACTTACTCAGATTCCATGCCTCTGACGAGGGTTAAACTCGTCACTTTGAAACTCCAGGGCCATATTCATGAAACTGTTCTCATGCTCAGGCATGGTTTCTGTGCTCAAACCAACTTTCTTGTTACTCACTTAAATCATGTCAAACGATCAAAATGTCAAATTTAAACATTGAAAAGAGTATTCAGGTTCAAGTCTCTTTAAAAAAAATCCAAATCTGTTTCAAGAATTTTTTTGTTTATGAATTTATAACCAGAACAAGAAATTAAGCTTGAGCACAAAATCCATGCTTGAGCATGAGAACGATGTCATGAATATGGGCCCTGATGGAATTTCCATGTTAATAAAAACCAAAGGATACTTCCCTGCCATGTCTTGCCTTAAAAGGATGGACTACTATAATAAGTAAATCAGTAATGTTTATTATAACACATTTGCTTTAGTTTGAGTGGACAGTTGATCACAAATTTTGTATTTTTATTTAAAAAAAGTTGTGACATCATGATCACATTCAGTAAATTTACAGTCATGAACATTTTCTACTGTGCAGCCATAAATATATTTCATCATTATTACTTTAAGGGAGAAGGTGAACTTTAAGTTTTATAACTTGTGTCTAATACCTTTTGTATTTTTTGCAAATAAAATATGTTTAAATCAAAAAAACATTCAGATGAGAGAAGCACAGTACAATAGGAATGTTGCATTTCAATGGTGGTTTGTTGAAATGGCAGGCAAAATAACAATCAGTCACCTCTGTGTGATCCACAATCTCATCAATACAAGGATACTCATTCTGGTGTCTAAAACTTTGTAAAATCTCATTTTGGAGAAAAGCAAACCTCGGGTTGGTATTTACCTTGACTATAGCATACAGAGGTGATAAATTCTATTTCTCTGTCTACACCACACAAGAAGTGCATGTGGCAATGTCATAGATTCTATTTCTGTCTTTTTTTACACAGGAATGATATATTCTTTTTCTCTGTCTACATCACACATGGGGTGATAAATTTTATTAATACAGTATCACAGGAATGAGTGCTTATTTCATGAATTCATTGACAGGAATTGTACTTCATGTAGTTAACAAAGTCAGTGACTGTAGGAATATGTAACAAGTCAGCTTTTCTGATTTGCTGTGCTGTCATATTTTTTTTTATAGTAATATTCACTGTAATTATACATGTATATTAACTTGTGTGTGAAGGTTTAGTGTACTAATGGTATAAATAAAATGGCATACAGTGTACTATTAATCAGAATTTGTTGTTTTTATTTGCTTTTCAAATTTCATTCAAACTTCTGTAAACTGCAACCCACATATTCTATGAGTTCAATACATGTTGTAGAGATAACCAGTGAAAGTTGTGGAAACTGAGATAACCAGTGAAAGTTGTGGAAACTGAGATAACCAGTGAAAGTTGTGGAAACTGAGATAACCAGTGAAAGTTGTGGAAACTTAGATAACCAGTGAAAGTTGTGGAAACTTATAAATACTGCCGTTAATCACTTTATTTTTGCATTTATATTATTTCACATCTCACAACTATGTATGTTTTATTTGCAAAATCTTTCATTCCTATTTGACAGGTTGTTACTTTACTATTAATGAAATAGACATCAAATGGTACGGGGAATGGGGAGTGTCCTTCTGTATGTACATCCACAATTTAGTTTCTGCAACATAACTTTCTTAAATATCTTTTGATTTTGATGGATTTAAAAAACCTGTACAATATACAAAGACTAAGGCTAAGATCAAAGATGAGCAAATACTGCGCTTTGATTGCATTGTTGATGTCCACTCTTTGGTTTCGGCAAAATAACTTTAAATAAATATTGTTCAGATTTGGTGAAACTTGGTTACAGTACGTATATATACATGTTCCACATACAAAAACTAAGGCTAAATTCAAAGTCAAACAAAATCTGCACATAATAACATGTATACTGTGCTTTGATTGGTTGATGATTTCAGCACAATAACTTCATCAAATATGACGTACTTTGATGAAATTATGAAAAATATATATTGTATAAAGATAAGGGTTAAGTTTGAAGCAGAACAAAATCAGTACATAGTTATTGTATATTGTGCTCTGATTGGTTGAGGTTTCTACACAAATATGACCAGATTTTGATAAAGCTTGGGTCAGTACTGATAACCTAAGTCATCAACCTAACACATTATCATTCCTAATCCTAGGTGTTTTGTCTGATGGTGATACACCCTCATTTGTTCTCACAACTTCAATGAGTAATTAAGTCACATACAAGAATATTGTACATCACACTAGTTGAAACTTGGCTCATTTTGCACACCACCTGCAAATGATGTAAGTACAAAAATGCAACTGTATAGGAAAGATGGAATCCCATAAACCAAACTAGGTCTCTGTGACCTATATTTTCACCTCTGACCTCATTTAATGAAGAAATTGTCTTTGAAGCTATTCATGTAGAATCCTCAAACTTAGTCCATAGGGAAAATGAGCATTGTACATGTGTACCAGACATAAGGTCACTTTGACCAGCATTTTGGATGTTAGTCAAGGAAATTGTTTCTGGCGTATTTCTCCTAGACTCTTTCTAGTTTGATTATCATGATAATGAACACAGTAACATCACAAGATAAGTTTGCTCACTATATGTGTTTAGAGAGATGGTCTCAAACTAATTTTTATGAAAAAATAGGCCAGAAATGCACAGATCGCCTCACTCCTCCAATGCTAGACATTGAGTTTAACTGAAAACGTGAGGAATATTTAAAATTTTGACCTACTATGGCAGCAAAGTTGGAGTGTCCATCAAGTCACCATTCGATTTAGCTATATTAGAATAATAAAGATTTGAATATTTGCTGATACTACAAATAATCAGCATGTATGTGTATAGGTGGAAGAAAATTGCACAATTGTTTTTGTCAATAAAATATGCCTTTGATTAGAACAACCAAATACTGAAATATGATTAACAGCTACTTTGAGAAATCATTGGTGAAAGATTGATAGTATGAAATCTTAATGAGAAGAAATGACCCTGTTGAGTTTCTTATATTTGTGTTTTCAGATTTTGCACAGCTCAGCAGACGTTTGGGTGAAATTTGGCAAGGCTTACCAGCAAAAGCTAAAATGGTAAATAGCATGTTCAGCTGTCCCAATATTGTAGATAGTTGTTCTTCACATTACAGCTTGTTCCTCATCATGTCATTTGTCGGCTGAACATGGACAGAAACACTTTTTCTGTGAAAATATCAGGGTGGTATTAAAATGAATATAAAAAACTAGCTCAGTGATTGCATATTTTTAAATATTGTTTTACAGCATAACAAGGGGAGAAAATAACAAAATAACAAGTGGAGAAAATGCTTCCACAGGACATTAATTATATATATAAGTCTTCATGGAATCCAGTCTAGTAGGTTTTTTATATTGAAAAATATAATTCATCTCATTCATTGCCCTCATTGACTAGGAGCTGTATAATCATTACAATACATAATACAGGGCCAAACTTGAAATGCTTTACTGGGTGGAGTGGAGAGTATAGAACGGTAAATAACATTACCCCATGCTCATGATGTCCCTCAAATTTTAACAGCTACTGAGGTTTTTTTTTACATTCAAAATGATTGAAACTTAGGCCAAAATTGATGCCTTATATTTTTCAGGCATGGAAACGTAAAGCAAAGCGTGAGGCACGTAAATTGATGGGGAAGGGTCTTCTTATCTCCACATCCAAGGGTGGTGGAGGAGTCATCACTACCACCATCCCTTCATCCCACGCTATGTCAGCAGCTGCAGCTGCTGCGGCAGCCAATACTACTGCCCATGCCACACCTACTCAACAAGCCACTCCCGCAGCACAGCCAGTCAAAGTGATTACCGCTATGCGAGAGGAACCAGCTACAACAAAGGTAAATGTGGTGTAACATGAATAAAGCTAACCATGGTAAATATACATGGATTAAGCTAGATATAAGATAAATATAATAAACTAATTCAAAGCTATTCTCTTTTCTTTTTCTTTGTCAAATCATTATATTTTGGCATGCACTGATTTCACAATTTATATGCCCTTTATGATTATTCGCAAATACTTCTGTGTGATTGTAGATTATTATTTAATATTGATAATAATTAATTCAAAATAAAGGCAAACATTAATCACTCGCAAAAATAAACTGATTTTATTTTCCCTTTTTAGTGATTTGCATTAGATCAATGCCATAATGTCATAAATAATATATGCTGATTTTTTTGGAAGAAATTATTGAGGCATGCTCAATGTTGTAACTGGTAACTGAAAGTTTTGAAAGGGATTTTTTTAGATTAAATTGGCAAAGTAAAGAAAATACATATATGAGAAAAAGTGATTATAAATTGCTGCAAAAGATGAGGAAGATTGATCGGTGGAAACATACAGGTGTATTAAGACAATTACATATATTATTTGTGATGGTGTTTTGTTCTGTCAAATCTGTGGAATAAGGTGAAGGGGAGATAACATCTGATAGACTAGTTATTTGACAAGTAGAAAAATCAAGGCAGGTGTGATGGGACTCAGTATTTGTATTAACCATATATTATGAGGAGCCCATGTTATATTACTCACCTGTGTAATTTTTACCTGACAGGCATTTGGAATAGAGCCTATTGATGTGTCTGCTCACCTAAAGCTGGTCGGAGAATCTCTTGGCATCATTGGGATGCGACTCCAGGAACACAGGGTATGTATTGTCAGCTTCTACTTGGTATCAGCTAGGAACTGGTAGTGAACTACGTATACAAGACTCTATGTTGTGTGTGTAACACTATTTGTTTCTCCCTCTCAGGGACTGATAGCCGTACAGGGGAGCCTATCTGTGCTACTAGACTCTATGTTGTGTGTTTAACACTATTTGTTTCTCCCTCTCTGGGACTGATAGCGGTACAGGGAAGCCTATCTGTACTACTAGACTCTATGTTGTGTGTGTAACACTGTATTTCTCTCCCTCTCAGGGACTGATAGCGGTACAAGGGAACCTATCTGTACAACTAGACTCTATGTTGTGTGTGTACCACTATTTGTTTCTCCCTCTCAGGGACTGATAGCGGTACAGGGGAGCCTATCTGTACTACTAGACTCTATGTTGAGTGTTTAACACTGTATTTCTCTCCCTCTCAGGGACTGATAGCGGTACAAGGGAACCTATCTGTACAACTAGACTCTATGTTGTGTGTGTAACACTATATTTTTCTCCCTCTCAGGGACTGATAGCATAGCAGTACAGGGGAGCCTATCTGTACAACTAGACTCTATGTTGTGTGTGTACCACTATTTGTTTGTCCCTCTCAGGGACTGATAGCGGTACAGGGGAGCCTATCTGTACTACTCGACTCTATGTTGTGTGTGTAACACTATTTGTTTCTCTCTCTCAGGGACTGATAGTGATATAGGAAAGCCTATTTGTACTACTAGACTCTATGTTGTGTGTGTACCACTATTTGTTTCTCCCTCTCAGGGACTGATAGCGGTACTGGGGAGCCTATCTGTACTACTCGACTCTATGTTGTGTGTGTAACACTATTTGTTCTCCCTCTCATGGACTGATAGCGGTACAGGGGAGCCTATCTGTACTACTAGACTCTACGTTGTGTGTGTAACACTATATTTCTCTCCCTCTCAGGGACTGATAGCGGTACAGGGGAGCCTATCTGTACTTCTCGACTCTATGTTGTGTGTGTAACACTATATTTCTCTCCCTTTCAGGGACTGATAGCAGTACAGGGGAGCCTATCTGTACTACTAGACTCTATGCTGTGTGCCCTGGGACCTCTGATGTGCCTCACTACCCAGATCCCGGAAATGAATGGCTGCTCCGATGAAACCCATTCCAGGACTCTTGACAATGTTGCGTTCTTCATGCCAGGACTCTGACATGAAAACAGTTACCTTGACATGAAACATCTTGACAGTTTTAAACTAAATCTCAAGAATATTTGGAAGAGATTAATGTACAAAATTACAGACGTGAGACGTTTTTACTTATAAAATGCATTTATTTGTACTAGGGTAAAGAGGTCTTGTTTAATTCAGCCATCGCAAATTGATTTTTTTATAGATTAAGTATCCATCAATAGTTTGGATGCAAGAAAGTTATCATGGGAAAGTAGAGGTTCCATAGGAAAGTTCACCAATAAAAATTACCATTTGGGGAAGACTGCTTTTAATGGCCTTAAACCTGCTGTGTATGAGTGAGGTGAAAAGATCACGAACTTTGACAGTACAAAATGACTTTATTTTGAAATCAGTTAAAAATTGAATTGCATTTCAAGCTAACTTCAGGAAATTGCTTTTAAATCTTGAACTGTTAAAACCAGTAGTTTTTTTTTAATGACTTGTAGTGTTTTTGTTGTACATGAGATTCATGTAGATTTAGATTGTGTCTATTCTTTTTCATATCATGAATTTATCATTCACATTTTCTGAATTCATTAAAATTGTATTTGACTAAACTTGTACTGGTGTTCTTTCATTAGTTCAAACAGTATTTTATTCAATAGTTAAACACATGCATAATGTTCATATATAAATTAAGAGGGATGTGGACACTAGCTTTTATGAATTACTGGATACTCTCTCAATATTGATGTCAAGTTTCAATATAAGACCTACAGCTGTTATTTTAAGTCTTAGATTAAGGACTATCAAGTTTGTTCACATATCTGCTTTCTATATTATAGGGGTCAAATATCCTAACAAATTCTTCTAAAGGCCCATAAAGCCTAGTTTGATGATAATTTGTCTGTAGCTTGCTGGGACGACCTATAAAGTTTGTAAAAACCTACTTTACTTTTCACAGAGGTCAGAAAATCAAAAGTGTCGCAAATATCCAAAATGTCTAGTTTAATGACAAGTTTGTCAAGGTCAAAGTGGTATTAAAATCTTCAAACAACCTCAAAAGATCCAGAGTATTTGGCCTTTAGCTTACTATTGTGTAGGCTATCTATTTTGTCTGAATAAATTACCTTGACCATCTTAGCTCTTTATAGTTCTTAGGGGTCAATAGTGTTAAAAACTTCAAATAAGGTCTGTTAGGTATAGTATAGTGATCTTTGGTCTGAGCTTGCTAAGATGATTTTGTATTCTCTTTACCCGGTATTCATTGCCAAGACATGCTTCAGAATGATTTCAAAAATGTCATCATCTCGACTTGGGAGGGACATATTCAAGAGTGAACATGAAATCTTATCATATTACACCAATCTGAAGTATTATTTAGGAGATACATGTATATAGCCAATGAAAGTTATTGTCCATATAAGGCATTGGAATGGGTGTACTTTTAACCTCTCTATCGATACCTTGAACATTGGATGTTTTGAGCTTAGTCTCCTATAACACTGCCTAGTCATGCTGCATCAGTCTATGAGGTTCCATAAAATAATGTGAATCTGATAAAGTGTTATTTCTTAACAAGTCTTGGACAGATTCAAGCTTGTCACTTTTGCTGTGACCTGTAATAGTGGGGAATCTGACCTGGGAATGGTTCCAGAAAATTACACTTATTATGTGGACGAGGAGGCCTGACTGATGGACTGGCAGACAAGGTCCATGGTTCCTCTTCCCTTCTCCTGTATGATAGAGGACTAAAAGCATCCTCAACTCGTTTAACTGAACATACACATGGAATTACTTTATCTTCCAGAGGACCGACACAAAAACACAAACGCAGAGAATAACATTTCATTACTTGTTTTTATTCTTGAGTAAAAAGGAATGTAAGAAGTGTATAAAAGGGCAGGGTAACACAACTGCTAATGTGTGAGTGACATTTTATCACCAAAGTCACGCTAAAGCTGTCACAGTCACACTAAACCTGTCACAGTCACACTAAACCTGTCACAATAACCATGTTGTCAACACTGCTAGGTCACCATGGAAACATCTTTGTCACAGTAACAAATAAATGTATGGTGTCAATAAAATTTGGTTGCTATGGCAACAGACCAATGGCAACTCAAACACAGTAACAATCCTTTGTTAAAACGAGATCAGGCTCCAAGATCATGATCAATTTTCCACATAGTCTGGATTCCAATTTTTGTTTATTCATGTCCAAATGTGATTTTACTAAGGTGATATGTACAATATGCAATAATTCACTGAATTAAGTACACAATAAATGTTTATTTTTGAAGTTTTGAAAATATAACTGTGTCATGACCCCGTTCCTAGAACACCATGGTAACATTGGACTCTCCTCTTGATCACAACCTTAACCATACACAGGTAATGATTACATGTCAGTCTGGTTAACTTACCAAGTATATTACAACACTACAAATGCAACATCAGTGAACATCGTGTAGCAGATAGTATAGTATTGGGTGGTAATATCACAGGCGTGAGGACAACATATATATAGGCCTAAAGATTGGAATATTTTGTTGTAGATATATAGAGGCAATTAAATTTTATAGTTCTTTTACTGAACATTTCGAATGATGTGATCTGAAACACTGAATAGACATACTTCTGGGACCACAACAATGTATCGGATGTTGTGATAACGATGTCAAAATATAGAACATGTTTTACAGGTTTTGTGCATTTTCATAAAAAAACACTAGTATGGTTTGTGACAGGTACATTTTAGAAAAATATCCCGTACACAGGTTGTAATTCTTTTATTTGATCTCTGAACCTGTCTTTGACAGAACTGTATAATTTTTCTACCGTAAACACCACAACTAAACTTGTGTTCGATTTACCAGTCTTAAAAAATAGCAATTTTGAAAAATTGTACTATTTAGTATATTGTAAATGGTTTAGAAACTACCAACTCGACCTAATAAGATGCCTAGTAATTTGGAAGAAAAATTGAATGAGTTCAGAACCTTCCAAAGTTCTAAAAACTATCCATAATACAAACAACTAAGTTGGTAAATTATGATGAATGAATGGAATGCTCAGAAGAGAAAAAGGAAATGGGGCATTGATAACGTGTAGAGCGACATCTTCATGAGTGTTTAAGTGAATTTGTGAACTTAAAATTTGTCATTATTCCTATAAAAACATTTTACACTGTAAATGCCATATCCATACAGTCTTCTTTATATTTCTTGTTATTGGAGTATTTTTATATTTTAGAAATTGAAAAAAAATGCCTTTTAAAATCTGCATTTATTTCAAATTAGTTTCATGTATGTTTGCTTGTGAATAGAATAGTCGTCTTCCATGGAGGGTCGACCATTAGTATCAAAATTTACCCTTGAAACCTGCAAATTAGAATTTACAGATAGATCTATAAATAAATCAGTCCTTCTGCATTTTTTATGAAAATGTGTCTCACAACAAACATGTGAAATCCAAAAGGAAGCACTAAACAAACCTTTTGTCCCTAGATATAGATATAGGTCGTTTTCGTTTAAACGGTCAAACCGGTCGGACCACTGTTGTTCGTTTATTAAATAAGGTCGGACATAGCAATCTGATGTTGCTTTCAGGCTAGCCTTGACAAAGCCTTCATAAACATTTGTAGGTCCGCCAGGACTTTTACCCGAAATTGTTACATTTATAAACGGTCAAAGCTGTTGTTCCACATAAACGAACAGGCCCATATTGTTTGGTATTAAACAGGTTTCATTTTGATGTTTATCTCCTAATCACTTGAAATTTTTAATTCATAGGTATGGAACTTAGAACATAGAATTATAAATATTAACAAATAAACATGAAAATGCACAAAACTTGTTTATTTGGACACAGTTATTTAAAAGCCTGATTTAAGCTTAGCAACTTGACAAAAAAAATAATAATATATATATATTTTCGAAAGGATTAAAAGTCAAAACTCAAAATTAGATTTACAATGATTAAGATGCTCATCTCAAGACAAGAAACGTAAAAAACAATCTTAACATATTTTTCTCAAAATTTGCACTGAAGATGTGTTACACTTGATTAATCTCAAAATGAACTGCCGTTCCAGGTTGAAAACTTGAGCAAACATATTTTAGGTGGTTGAACACCTTAAAGCATCAATAAATCATGTAAAGGATGTTTTCTTCTGAGGAAAAGTGATATAAACAAACCCAGCTAACAGAGAACATCACAGACTTGGTCAGTAAATAGGTATATTGCTGAAAAATTGCATACAATGACCACAGGAGTTATCTCTCTTTGTATTGATGGTGAAACAAACAAGATAATTCAAACAATGTTTAGTGACGATGAGTAAAGACTGATATAAGTCTGTAAGACTTTACCAAATTGAAACATGATTTTACAAACATTAATTAGTGATTTTTTGATTGAATTGTAAAAATCATAACATACCACATCACAAATGAAAAGGATTGAAAGAAAAAGAGCCATTAAAAAAGGGGACTCTTGGAAACAATAACATAAATACCAGTTATAGCCATACAATATAGGTGAACAATAATTCCAACATGTCCTGGTTATTTAGAATGACGCCTTAAAATTTACTTTCAAATTTGTTTAATTTATGGATTGAAGTAAAAATTCAATTCAGGGGAGATCAATATATGAAGACCTGTCAGTTCAATCAACATGGTACAGATGTGGTTTTGGTTGTTGTAATGTACTTTCTGTGGCAACCATGTGATTGATACTATAAACTTGTGTTTAAACTGAAATTATTGAATGTTCCCATGTTATCAGTACAAGTGAGTGGACATGTAGGAGTGTAATTTATAAGAAATTTAGGAATGTGTTGTTTTAATTCTTAAAGAAGTTTAAAAAATATTTAAGAAATCAACTTGTTGGTGATATCCACAACCATATAAATTTGTGTGAGTTATAATCTATGTATAGTGAATCAGTACAACAAAGGTTTTCAATTAAATCACAATGGAGGTCCTCAAATCTATCACAACGTACCTGGTAGACCTTCAATTACATCCAAATTTTACATCTCTGTTACCAAATAGCCAATTAGACTGCTTGCAAATATGTGAAAAACAATTATGAAATATCTTATATTGAGAAGTAATTAATTGATTGTGTCTTTGGATCTCCTACGCTGTGTACCAGTATCAGACTTTACCAGCTGTTATCAGTTTAATAAACGTAGGACAATTTCTCTGTACTTAATACAAACTTTCGGTAAACATTTGTTGAACTTATAAGACTTTGAAAATCTTACAGGAAATATGAACATAACAGAGAGATATTGTGAAGCTTTCAATTTTTAATTGTTTTTCTTGAAGCCCACATAGAGCATAGGTTAATGCATCAGATATATATTCAGATTGTTAAAAAACCTTATGAAATTTAAGCTCCATACATGCTAGGCCAGTAATGATTCCTCTACATCTCTATCCAAATATCACACAGATAGTCAGCTAAACAACATGATTTAGGTATGATAATGATCAGGGAATGAGGAAGAGTCTGTTTTCCATAGGAATACATGAAGCACCAACCATTACTTGCTTTTTTTCACAGTCTTGAGAATGATTGAAACTTTTTGTTTACTTTTAACAACTAATTTGTTATCTTAGATCTAAGCAAAGTAATCTGCTGAGTGCTTTACACTGATTGGCTAGGCATTGGCAATTTTTACCACTGCAACCCATATATTTTAGTTCCGGCTGATTACTGCCAGATTTTAAAAAGGTTTTCCTGTGTGTATGAAGTCGGTATGAAATCAAATAGTCTTTGACAAATATATTTTCATTTATACTATCTTTACTATCACAACAGCTAGGGTCAAAAGCATTCCATGGAATCCAAACTGCCAACATTATAAATCGTAATTATTCTTAAAATATTTATTATGAGATTGCAGCATGGTGCTGGAGCAAAAATCTTTCCAAAAAGCTATGTACCAATAATGAGCAATAAAGGTGACTATGATGTATATATCTATAGTGAGTTAAGTGTGAAAAAACTCTCCCAACCTCTCACTAAAAATGTACAAAAATATAAACAATCTTATTGTACAACATACAACAACAGTTCATTCTTGACTTTGTAAGTCTCATCTGGGTCGGATTGTTACATTTTGTCATTGTCTGGGCCTGAAGTAACAATTCAAATTAAGTTGTAAAATGAAATGACTTCCATATGAAGAAAATCTCATTTATGTTCAAGGTTTTTTTTTTGTTTTTTTTTGAAAAAAAATATACAAACAACTCTGGAGCTCTTGTCCCTTTTCAGCTCTGATGTCAAATGATTTAATTAATTACTGTTTTTGATGACTTAAAGCCAATAATTTCATAATATTTTCATTTTTAGGAATTACACTCAAGTCACCAGTTGAATAAGAAATATGAATAAATCTAGAATTTTTTATCAAGAGAAAAATATATGGATTATAACTGTTGAAGGTTCTTCTCTCCTGTATTAGTGAAATCTGTCTCCAATGTTTTCACCTGTGCAGCAAATAACACCACCCCCTTATTGGGACCACTACTCCTCATGTCTCATACCAGTTAGGAATGTTTATTAAATCTTGCATGAATAGAAGAGATGATGATTTTTGGATGGTCTTAATGTACAATTGACAAAAAATAATGTGTGTGAAAGATCTAACCACATATGTTAAAAACCAAGAGGCCCATGGGCCTTAACGGTCACCTGAGCCTACAGTATTTATTTTTGTTGTTGAAATATGTACCAATTTGAGTAAAAAATAGTATAATGTTAACTTAACTTTGTCAGGACCATGAGCTGATCATTCCTAGACCAATTTTAAGTGAGATCGGCCTATTAGAACTTAGTAGCAAAATAGCGGCCATGGCAGCCAAATTGTATTTCTGATTGACCCGAAAAATAACAACACTTTGTCAGGACCATGAGGCGATCATTCCTACCAACTTTCAGTTCAATCGGTCCAGCAGAACTTGACTTTAAGTTTGAAATAGGTTTTCAAAATGGCGGCCGTGGCGGCCATATTGGATTTCTGATCGACCCGAAAAATAACAACACTTTGTCAGGACCATGAGGCGATCATTCCTACCAACTTTCAGTTCAATCGGTCCAGCAGAACTTGACTTTAAGTTTGAAATAGGTTTTCAAAATGGCGGCCGTGGCGGCCATATTGGATTTCTGATCGACCCGAAAAATAACAACACTTTGTCAGGACCATGAGGCGATCATTCCTACCAACTTTCAGTTCAATCGGTCCAGCAGAACTTGACTTTAAGTTTGAAATAGGTTTTCAAAATGGCGGCCGTGGCGGCCATATTGGATTTTTGATCGACCCGAAAAATAACAACACTTTGTCAGGACCATGAGGCGATCATTCCTACCAACTTTCAGTTCAATCGGCCCAGCAGAACTTGACTTTATGTTTGAAATGTAAAATGTTAACGGACGACGGACGACGGACGACGGACGACGACGGACGAAAACAGATAGCAATAGGTCACTTGAGCTAAAGCTCAGGTGACCTAAAAACCACCAACAGAATTATCTCCCTTCATCCATAAGTCAGTGTTAGAAAATTGGGTAGTCTCCCTTTAGCCAAGTTGAGTCACTGTCCGACTTTGTATTGAAAAATGTATCAATCCAAAAACAATTATATTTACAAGGTAACAAAACAAGCATAATATACATGATACAAAATCTATTTAAGGAAGACTTTCAAGATTTCATATATATACAAGTATATCATCAGTGAATGTTGACACATAAGGGAGAAAGATTTTCTTCGGTTTTATTGGAATTTTTCGGAATGCAAATGTCATCACAACACTATAAACAATAGAAAAATTGTGTACATCTAGGCATTCATCATAACACTATATATATATTTACATGTTTTTTGTTAAGAAAATAGTTCAACAAATTAACATAATAAAAACAGAGTAAAGGTTTGGTCTGCATTACAAACATGTCAATATTCCAGACTTGGTACATTTTGTCTGTGTTGAGTTCTTCTTGAGGACTGGAATGATCTGTAATCATAGTAACAGGAGTCCTAATAAAAAACAACAATCTCATATACACTGGGTTGAGATGTGCTCGCTCCCGTGCCTGGTGAAACATCGTCATGGTGTTGGTTAAATCTAACATGTAGGTGGTAATTATTATATACACTAATTTATACACATGATGTCACAAAACAATACCCTTTGATAATTGCTGATGTCATTTCTCACAGCAATTTAATTAGATTTTCAAAATACAAATAAAAGACTTCCAATTAAACTTGTGTCATTTAAAAACTTGAAAAACAACTCAATTATAATTAGTTAGATGATTATGAAAACCAATCATCACTCGTTGGGGCACAGTGCTCAAGATTCATTTTATAATGAACATATACAATATGTTGGAAATATGATATGTCTGTATTATCTTTACTTCTTGAGCAAGTCTGGTAACTGAACACACTGATTACCAATAACAAGATAAGTCACCACTAACATGACAATATGGGCTCTACATCCGTTAATTACTTGGAGGAATAATAACAATTACATGTGAGCTCTACAAATTAGGCTTTTCCTTCGTGGCATTATAAAATTGACATACCTGACCTCCACCAATTTCTCAATGTCCCTCCTCAATTACAAAATGTACAGTCAAGTTTCACTTACAGTCACGTTATAGGCTTCCCTCCTTGTGATAAATGTTACACCCTCCTTGTGATAAATGTTACACCCTCCTTGTAATAAATGTTACACCCTCCTTGTAATAAATGTTACTAAATGGTACACCCTCCTTGTAATAAATGTTAGACCCTCCTTGTAATAAATGTTACACCCTCCTTGTAATAAATGTTACTAAATGTTACACCCTCCTTGTTGTATTTACTATTTGACTTTATTCTTCCTTGTGCAATGAACTTTACGCTTAAACATCCTTGTTATACAATTTCCTCCTATTTTTATAATATTTACGTTGTAGCGGAACTGGACTGGGTCGATCGCCGACAAGTAAGCCCAATGGGTTAGAGCATCCGTTTCAAGTTTGGAGGGTCCTGGGTTCGAACCCCGGTCTGGCCATGCAGTTTCCCATTCCTGTGACATTTAGCGCCCAGCGAAATATACCCACCAAAAGTGGTTTGGGGTCTCTAGTGACTTCAAGGTTGAAGACTTTGTTTAAGGAGGGAAGAATGTAGCGGAACTTGACTGGTTCAATCGCTGGCAACCAGGTAGCGCTATTTGTTACAATATCTATCTAAAAGTTTGGTTAAGTGATGGGAGACAAAGAATCAATCATTATGTAGGTATCTGGGCGCAGAATTAGGTGTCAGAACCTCGATTCTGACCCACAAGTTGTTGACCCTATTAATCAATTTATAAACAGTAAAATCATAAAATATTTCCATTAGGTGTATTACAATTTGGAATTGTTTTTAAAAGGATGATGTAATGAAAAAACAAATTCCCGAAAGTCTCGATAATAAGCCTGAGTTCAAAATGAGCCACAATTGAGAATTAGCCTTGGATTCCTTGCTGTCAAATATACCTCAAAAATAGACCGTCTTGAAAAACAGGCCGGTCTTGAAAAAGATGCATTGGATTCCAGGTAGGAGCACTTTTTCCTTGTCGGCCTACAGAGGTTTTACAGGTCAACATCACATGATATATTATTGCAACAATTTGATAGAGAAAATAGAAACAATTTAATTTCATTTAAAAAACTGTAAAACATAATGTTTTTCATGCAAAAAAAAACAACCTTTAAAATAAGCCATTGACGGCTTAATTACTGTCTGAATGACTTCGAAAACAAGACTGCCTTGAAAAAGCTCAGGCATTGAAAACAAGCCTGTGATTCCTTATTAAAATGAAAATAGGTCATGGCCTATAATTGAGATTTTAGGGTAGTACAATTATTTGTTTGTCCCCAATATGTGTACAAAAAAACACATGTGTCTGAAACTAATTCAACAAATCTGATAATAAATGCAGCAATTTAATTTGTATCCAGTGGTATATGGTTCATATGAAATTTAATCTCAATATTTAGTTCAGTTGCTGTCAAAATACTACCGCCGTTGATTTCAACCATCCTTTTAATCAATATTCAACCTAATGTTCAATTGATTAAACAGTTTTACACAAATATAAAACTACTTGATGTAAACATACAGATAAAAAATCTACTCTAATTGACATGATCTGTACTGGGAACCTGAACAGTTACAATGATTACCCAGTTAATGTAAGTAACCAAATACCTTGAGTAATCAGTTAATGTAAGTAACCAAATGGCTTGAGTAACCAGTCAATGTAAGTAACCAAATACCTTGAGTAACCAGTCAATGTAAGTAACCAAATACCTTGAGTAACCAGTCAATGTAAGTAACCAAATACCTTGAGTTATCAGTCAATGCGAGTAACCAGTTACCATAGTTAACCAGTTACTTTAAGTAACCAGTTACCAATGAACTAACAGTTACCGTGAGTAACCAGTTATCATAAATCATCATCTGCGGCAACTGAATATCATGTTATAATGACTCACAATGGTTACCATGAACTACCAGTTATTGGGAATAACAACCACCACAGTTACAGTGGAGAATGTAAGTGTCTGTGAATGACAACAACCACCACAGTTACAGTGGAGAATGTTAGTGTCTGTGAATGACAACAACCACCACAGTTACAGTGGAGAATGTAAGTGTCTGTGAATGACAACAACCACCACAGTTACAGTGGAGAATGTAAGTGTCTGTGAATAACAACAACCACCACAGTTACAGTGGAGAATGTAAGTGTCTGTGAATGACAGATCTTCATATCATTCTCGTTCACTAACTGAATTGCCAATTGTGCTGAAATTAACTGACAGCATAGGAATATGTAAAAATTCCTAGAGTCGGAATAAAATTTGTGTATGTATATCTGTGTATATTCATACGAAGAGCTTCACAGTTTTGACTTTTTTTTATGCGATTAGAAAATAAGTCTTACATCAAGACACTGGTCATTTAAGGTCACTGGTCCGGTCCCAGTACAAAACTTGATGTTATCAATCATAATGGTGAAATTTGAAGTGAAAGACTTTCGTCAGTTTGATTTTTGGTTTCCAGCATTTTCATTTCAACAGCATCAGAATCGGTTGCATCTTGTCGACGCAGTGTTGGCCTTTTGGTTCTGGATTCTCGAAGTGGTTTTTGAGTGGGCACAAAGTCCCCCCGGAAGATTTCTGAGTTAGAACTTCTCGAGGAGGATGCTGTGGAATAGAAAGCACTGGGGGTAGCCAGAGGACCGTTGCCGGAGAAGCTACTATTAGTTAGGTTACCATGGCCATTTTGTACTCGCACATTGTTATTTTCCTCGTATCTACTTCCCATGCGCACACCGTTTGCCACGGTTAAATTCGGCACCACAGGTTTATTCATTATTAAAGACTCGCCTTGGTCAGACTCATAAATAGACTCTGCAGAGGACACGCTAACACTGTCAATACTTGGGATTTGGAGATGAGCGAGTGCTGCCCTCTGTGTAGTAATGTGGCCTTTGGCTGCCAAATTCTTACTGTCCAAGGGTGGTTGGATGTCAAATCCCTGATGGAAGCTAATTTGTGAGGTTTTGGTGATAAGGTTGCTGAACTCATCATTATTGAATAGGTTGCCATGGAGACCGGACATGTCCACATGGTAGCCCCTGTTCACCTGGCCTCCTTTAGACGCTGGTCCAGTTATCACAATTTTTGGTTTGTCTTCTTGCATAATATCCAGCACGGTCACCACAAACGAGTAACAGAACACATATTCTACCTGTAAAATAAAACCATGGCTTTTTATTTGAGAGATTATGCAAAGTGTTTGATTATCTGGAGCAATTGATTTCACCATCAAAATATGCAGTGAAGCTAAAGTACCAAAGCAATTTTTGAACTGACAAACTACGATTGGTAAGACATTTATTGAGATAATGAGTTTTTCAGAAACACTAGTGTCCCCAGCACCATTTTAATATCAAGAGTACTAATAGATTCAGCACTTAATCAATCAAACTTTACTTTGAAAAAATGCCCAATTTTGTCAAATTTCCCTTAGTTGTATCCAATATTCCTCCATTCTAAACTTCAGTATCTGACATATCTAGAATGATTCATAAATATTGATACCTGCGTACCACTTCTCCATTGAAAACCAATAAAAAGTGAAATGGATACACTCATAATGTCATTTTACTTACGACATTTGGCACCAAGTCTGGGCGATTTTTCTTGACGACCCGCACAGCACCAAACACATCAACCTCACCCTCAGCCTTCAGCTGGTCGAGACAGATATTAGTGACACAGTATACGCCACAACGTGTGTACCCATCCCTATAAATTATAAAGATTGCCTGTATAAAACACAGTGTCCCTATAAAATATAAAGATTGCCGGTATAAAACACAGTGTCCCTATAAATTATAAAGTTTGGTGGTATAAATCACAGTGTCCCTATAAATTATAAAGTTTGCCGGTATAAAACACAGTGTCCCTATAAATTATAAAGTTTGCCGGTATAAAACACAGTGTCCCTATAAATTATAAAGTTTGCCGGTATAAAACACAGTGTCCCTATAAATTATAAAGATTGCCGGTATAAAACACAGTGTCCCTATAATGTTCTACTATACACAGGGATCTGGGTTAACAGATACATCATTTTGTTACTACAGTTGTGTGACCACACAACGCACCAAAAATAGCGTGCGCACACCGTGCATACATCGTTCACACACCGTTCGCACATCGTCCACACATGGTGCGCACAACTGTGCGATTAAACAATCGTTCGCCCCGTTGTGCGCTTCTTTCCGCACAACTGTGCGATTGGATACAATTTGTAGATCAATATTACGGAATGAAAAAAATACGGAAAGCTCGTATGCAATAATGAAAACTGTATGTATTATTGTAATATCTCATCACAGTAATGAAGATTATGTACAGTTGTACAATGCGTGTAACACAGCATCACAGTGACCGTTAGACTGTCAAGAATGGGTTTCGCGCCAAGGTAACAGAATATGTAATTAACAATTTGATGAGTTACCGGGATTTGACCTGGCCTGTACCTGACACATAGAGCTGATATGCGATACCGTATGACCGTAATGAAAACACAGCTGGACGTTTAGTATTTGTTATTTGCATTCGGTTTGCCTATAGCTCCCCTTCACCTGTGTTTTCACACTCCTGGCCCTACCCGACGAAATACGTAAGCGCCCCAGGCGGGGGAAAACTATATATCTACCGTCCAGGTACATGTAGACGGCTAGTGGCTATGTTTACCTGTATAAGGGACTGTGTTGTGATTTCACAGGTGTCGATTAAGGTCGTTTAAAAAATACCCAAAACACAATTTCTAAATTTAAGAAAGTATAGATATAAAGATAAGTTTATAGGTGTAGGTAGAATATAGAAACATACGTAAAAATCAAGGTTTATATGTTTAAACACGAAACCGTATATATCGTAAAGGCATTCTTCAATTTACACCAACCATGATTGTTATCGCACAACGTTCGTCCATCGTGCACACAAATGTGCGCAAGATTTGATCGCCCAGATTTTTATCGTTCGCACATCGTGCACACATCGTTCACACACCGTGCACACATCGTGCGCACACCGCACATCGTGTAACGTTGTGCGATCCCACAACTGTATATATAGCCAGTAATATTCGAGGGAACAATATTCCATGTGTACTGTTTGCTACATGTGTTTCTAACATCAGCAAAATTGGAGCATATACATATGTGTTTGAAAGATGACATCAGGGGCAATATCATATCTCAAGATCGTGGAATTTAAATCTGTGTACTGTGTAAATTTATAATTTCTTCATTTTGATAAAAAAATCGAAAAAGTTAGTCCAGTAGAAATAACCAGCTTAGTCTGCTTTTCCGTCTTTTCGTATTGCAGAGTTATCTGCTCTTGTGAGCAGGTATTGAATGTTACTTCATTAGTTTGTGTGAGAAAAATACGTCTTTTTCTCCAAAAATGATGACGTTACCCTCACAAACAAATGACGTAACAATCAATACCTGCTATCAAGAGCAGATAACTCTGCAATACGAAATGACAGAATATGGGGTTTCACAAATACATTCCATAAATAGTACCAGTTTACCGGTATACTAGGTTCTTGGTTTATTGTGTTTATATTTATCTAGCTGTTAGACATCATCTGGGGTGAAGCAATGCACTTTCTATCTAAACGCTACTACACAGAGTTCAGTGTTAACAAATACATTGTATTTAATCACAGGATAATCTAGTGATATCTAACCAATGTTTTTGTTTTGTTTTAAATTCTTCCAGTAGAAGTTTTGTGCATATTGTAATTTGAAAGGTTCAGAAACAGAGGAAGAATACAAAATATATCGACCAATGCTGCTTCAAATCCACAAAAGCAGGGAATACATTATACCAGTGATTTCCAGTGAGTCAGAAGTTAGCCGTTTTAAATCAATCGCTTTTCATGTATTATTCATAATGTAAAGAAGATACCTCTGCAGTCATTCAATTCCATGTATATATATATACGACTGAAAATGTCAAAACAACTCTTGTTCAGATAAAGATGAATTCATACTCGTCGACGTTCTTTGGTTCTTATGAGAAATAGATTTTCTCACTTATTTTCCTGACAGTCATGAAACAGTCTAAATTTCAAAATCACAAAATCACAATTTCAAAAGCTGATGAAATCATGAGGTTTAAACTAGGTGAAGTTGTTAATATTTCCAATATGTTCGATTGATGCAAAATCACATTCCAAACTCAAACATATTTGACAATTTAATCCTTTTATGATCCCCAGACCTTGATGAACTTCAGCTCAAGGCATCATAGTTGACAGGTACAATGATTGAAACAGTTAGACATACAAATGTTTTCAAGGTACACACTTTGACATAATATGGTATATATACTATATTTGACATTATACAAACAGGATTTAGGGGTATATATACTATATTTGACATTATACAAACAGGATTTAGGGATATATATACTTACTTTGACATTATACAAACAGGATTTAGGGGTATATATATACTTACTTAGACATCATACAAACAGGATTTAGGGATATACTCCCTTTGACATTATACAAACAGGATTTAGGGGTATGCTTACTTTGACATTATACAAACAGGATTTAGGGGAATATATACTTACTTTGACATTATACAAACAGGATTTAGGGGTATGCTTACTTTGACATTATACAAACAGGATTTAGGGGTATGCTTACTTTGACATTATACAAACAGGATTTAGGGGTATAGATACTTACTTTGACATTATACAAACAGGATTTAGGGGAATATATACTTACTTTGACATTATACAAACAGGATTTAGGGGAATATATACTTACTTTGACATTATACAAACAGGATTTAGGGGAATATATACTTACTTTGACATTATACAAACAGGATTTAGGGGAATATATACTTACTTTGACATTATACAAACAGGATTTAGGGGAATATATACTTACTTTGACATTATACAAACAGGATTTAGGGGTATGCTTACTTTGACATTATACAAACAGGATTTAGGGGTATACTTACTTTGACATTATACAAACAGGATTTAGGGGTATATATACTTACTTTGACATTATACAAACAGGATTTAGGGGGTTTGTACGTTGTTGCCATTCCTCCACACAGCCCATCAGGTAGATCATGGACTTGGAACTATGGGGAGTCTTTTCCTTGGCTGGCCAGCAGGTCAGTTGGAAAGTCTTTACTACTGCGTATTCGGCTGTGATATCTGACATACAGGTGAGGTTCTGTAAAACACTTTATCTAGTTAGATCTTTTGTATAGGGGAATTTACCCATTAGTTCACAGGTAAAAAGTCACTGATAAACAAATGGTCATTTGGCAAGTCATGGAAAGTTTCCTTACTTTTTTCACTCTGTATACAATAAGGAATAAGGAAGTTAAAAAATAAAACATAGGGGAGCAAGAGGTTCAATGGACATGTAATAATAATAATAATATACAGCATTTATATAGCCCCCTATATAATTTGTAATATTACTCTAAGGCGGTTTACAACATATGGATAATTAAGTAATGGTTATAATTGTGAAAACAAACAACAAAGGCTTGCAATCCCTTTCATACATTTAACAAGCAATGTGCACATAATTGAAGAAATAAAAGGGTGGTATTTACATGACGTCTTTGCAAAGATTCTAAAATGCAGACGTGAAGAGGTGAGTTTTTATGTCCCTCTTGAACTTGGCTAGGGTATTTGACTTCCTAATAGCAGATGGTAAGCTATTCCACAATGTAGCCGAAACCCTCCCAAAGCATCTGTTTCCGTAAGTCACAGTAAGAGATTTTGGGACACACAACAAAGATTCTGACTCCGACCGAAGTGATCTTGACGGCTGATACAGGGTAACAAGTTCCTGTAGGTACTGAGCAGCTGTTCCATTCAGTACCTTGTATGTGTATACCAGAATTTTGTACTGCGACCTGTATCGTACAGGTAACCAGTGCAACGAATAAAGCGCAGGTATGATGTGCTCTCTCGAGTACGAGTAACTAGCCGTGCTGCAGTGTGTATAGCTCACTTGGTATAAATCTCACAATAGTAACTTTAAAAATGGACCAGAAAAGTTAAAATATAATTTCATGGACTAAATTAAACTACAGGCCCATATATCATTACATTATATATGAATCTTGGTTACGCAGATGAACTTGTTAAAAAGTGTTTGCACTTCTGACCCATGCGATCTTAGAACCAGGTCATGGCCATGAACAGACCTGGTAGCCCATTATCCCATCATGCTACTGGTCAAATATCATCACACTAGGCCTAATGGTTATTGAGAAGTTTATTTTAAGATCTGAATACATTTGACCCCTGTGACATTAAAAGTGGGTCAAGGTCCTTCATTTGAACAAACTTGGTAGCCCTTTGTTCCAGCATGCTACTGGCCAGATAATGTGTAGAAATCATTTTTAAATTTCAATTCAATTAACCCCTGTAACCTTGTAGTAATTAGGTCAAGATATTGTATTTGTACCAAATAGGCAGCCTTTTATTCAAGCATGCTACTGGCCAAATATCATCAACCTTGGTTTTTTGGTTAATGAGAAGAAAATCTCCTTTAAGATTTTAACAATTTTGACCCCTGTGACCTGGAAAGTGGGTCAAGGTCCTTAAATTGAACACAATTGGTAGCCCTTTATCCCATCATGCTACTTGCCAAATATCATCACCCTAGGCCTGTTGGTTATTAAGATTATAAGGCATTTAAAGTAAAATGTTGATGCTTGACAGATGACAGAAATGGTATAAGCTCACTTAGTTCTTCAGGCAAGGTGAGCTAAAAATATAGCCTTGGTCATAACATTACCAATCACCAGCAATTAGTGTCTGACTCTTATATTATAATACAGGAGCCCCAAGAGGGCCTGTATCGCTCACCTGAATATTTAAGCAGTCATAGCAAAATATTCTCATTAAATATTATATTGCATTAAAAATATTTCCCTCGCAAACTTTGTTGGCTCCATCTGTTGAAACTACCAGCAAAATATTATTATAAGATTCTATGCTTTTTGATTCTTCTTCAGAAGTTGCTGACATATTTTTCCCTGTGATCTTGTAAGTAGGTCAATGTCATTTTCCTTCTCAAATTGGTTAGCTCTATTCCAAAAAGCTACCAGCCAAATCTTATGAATCCATTCCTTTTAGTTCTCAAGAACAAATC